GCTAATATGTGAACGACGCCGCGACCGAAAAGAACGCGCTCTATGAGATACTTCTCTCTCTGTATCTTTTTTCGTAACAAGTTGACGCAACCGCCCGAATATTAGATGCGAACCGCATCTCTCTCTCTTTCTCTTTCTCTCTGATTGTCATCGCATTTCTAATTCTCGTTCAATAAATCCAACGATCGCCCGATTCTATTGCTTGAGCGAGTCGATGTTATTAGTAAATGTGAGAAATGTCGGCGCGATACGTCGCGACAAGCACTGCATATACCGCGAGGAGAAACGAGAAGATTACTTACAAATGACGTCTTCACGATACGCCCCGGCGATCGCACAACGCTATTCTCGACACTCCCGAGACTTATTAACGCGCGAGACGCACTTTCGACGGATAAAAGACGCGAGAAACGCGGAGCGATGTGGATCGATGTGTGCCCATGGCTGCTGCTTGGCGCGAAAAGATCGAGCATTTCGCGCGATTCATTACCAACGTCTAGATTGAATAAACACAATGACAACCTCGTAGTGCGAAACGAACGCGATTGGTTAAGGCGTCCGCCGTAGATCGCGTCGTCGTAGACGCGCGACCTCATTCGCATCATTGGCGCGTTCACATTCATACACTTTTGGCACTTTTGGTGCGCTAATGAACTTTTGGTGTACGTGATTGACAGCGCGCGCGTCTGCGATCTTTTTATGCCGAGCAACTGCCATGGATACAATGTTCCGTATTCCATACGTGTTTCGCTTGTGTTTCCTGTGAGTCTCCTGTGAGGAAATAAATATTAGAGTGCCGAAAACAACGACGTGCGGTCATCAAGACATATCGTAAGTATTACGGAGTAATCTCCTCCCTTCTCGACACGTACAGCTAAGGTGACCAGACGTCCCGATTTTTCACCCTTTGTCCCGAATGTTATCGAGTGTTATTCAGCACACCGATTTGTCATCATTTTCAATGACTGTCAAATAATTTTCGGATGTTATCCCCCTCCCCCCGCCCTCCGCTTCACACATTTATGAAATGTCCCGAATTCAAGGCTGGGAAATCTGATCACCTTTGCTGCAATTCTAAGCAGAATCGTAAGTCTCGTAACTTGTTCTCGTAAAATTCGTCAGAACTTATGAGTAGATTTACAAGCCTTTGCAATATCATATATCGTACAATTACTCGTAAATATCTACGATTTCATATAATTTACGATATCTACAAATGATTGTATGATATATGATATTAGATTTGTAAATCTACTCATAAGTACTGACGAATTTTACGAGAACAAGTTACGAGACTTACGATTCTGCTTAGAATTGCAGCATTAGTTTACTTCAACACAGATACGTTCGATTGCAAGACGGTTTGCATGTTTTTTATTGAATAAATCGAGTTGTCACAATTGACAGCCACTTGTGACGTGTGCTGCTGACATGCATTCAACACACTCTATATCATAAAGAGATTATCTTACTTTATAAAATATATAATTACTTCGAAATAATTCGTTCTCTTATACCTGAAAATATAAATTATTCTTTCCAAATTTGTCATGTTCTATACTTCGACTTCTACACGAAAAAAAATTTAGTAGAATTAATTTGAGATTTGAATGTGTACATTAGCCAAACTGCATTTGATAAGAAACGGACGAGTAATAGATAAAGACAACCAGATAAATTTGGTTGCAAACGACAACTTCAGCGAAAGAAGATTGCTACGAAAATCGCTTTTATTACGGTAGATTTTAAACCTGGGATTATTGAATTTTAAATCGACTGTCACGCGCTATGCCACTTCTTTAATTGATAGGTTTGTTATATATTATCTATATATATTGCAACCAACGCAATTATCAAATTTTTCAACAATATTATTTCATGTCACAAAAGATGAGCGATTTGGATAATTTTACTTGTCGTAGTTTTACTTGTAATTTCATTAAAACTATGATGTAATGTTCGTGCGCAGGAAACGATAAGACGAGCTCTGTAATTCCTTACAGAATGGAATACTCAAGATTCACGTGCTTCAGATATTGGATTTATGGTAAATTGAGTACACACAGAGTAATCAATCTACGACCGATGTTATACCTAAATCTGGAATATTATAATAGCCAGAAATTGTGTTTGATTTTACCAAAAATCGTTTTGCTAAACATGTCATGTTAATCTAACCACGTTCTTTTTCCCGGTGTAGTCATAATAATCAAACACTTGAATATTATTACAACATGTACAGCAATCCAACTCTGATTAGCATTACATCTAAACGTTCTGGCTATGCATAATATTTCATTGTAATAATCAAAAATTATTTAGTCTTATCAGAACTTGTGTTAAACTAAACGTGTCAACCCAACCCAAGCTTTTTTTCTATCTTTTTATCCCAACCGATTACTGCATGTACACATTAATACTCTTAATTACGACTTTTAATTGTAGCACTTGTTACTCTCAATTGACTATAATTATGCAACAGCGATCCAACAGAATTATGATTTTTGAATTTTTATTACCAGTGTGTAATCCACATGTCTTTTTATTTAAAATAAAGATTCAACCCTAGTGAGTACTTCGAGCTAATTAAAGAGCAGTTTTTATTTTCTGCTAGTCGCATTTCTTTTGTCTATTTTTTCAACTATTCAACAAATATTCTTAAAGAGAAGAAAATTGATCATATTTGACTTCTTGAACGATCGCGAAGGACCTCACTGCTATCTACACTGTTCTAAATCATGTATCAAATTTTCATCTTCACATTTTTCAAAATATATCTCATGTAGGTCAGATGATTCTTGCATAACTACAGTCTACTGTGATAAACGCTGTATCTTGGAAAAAAAAGCGCGCGAATCGTGTTGCGACCATGCGTCTTACTTAAGAACTTTCGCACATGAATTGCTGTATGTATAGACATAAAACAACAGTTTAATTGAAAGATCAATAGGGATTGCTTTAGGATTCTTCTAGTTAGAAGAAGATTGACGTGTAAATAGGATTGACTAAGATTTTAACTTATAAATACATAAATCTATTTATATATAAATCTTAGCGCGCACTGAGTGCGCGCTAAGGCTTGTTTACAGTACATTCTTATATTTAAGATCGTGTCTTAAATACATATTTAAAAACATTTTAGCTAATAAAATGATTCATACGGATGTTGTACATATCATATTATTGAAAATACCATATTATTAAAAATATTTGAAAATTTATTTAAGACAATCTTGAAATATAATAACATACTATGAACAAGCTTTAATGCGCACTCAGTGCGCACCAGTGCAAGCAACTGAATTCGCTATTAGTTGCTTTCGCATCGATCAGATTTACTGGCAGTTCTATCCTCTTCTAGAGCACACAAAAAACTATAATAAAATCCCGATTGGTCCTCCAGTTCAATTTTACGGCTCATATTCACGGTTATGGCAATTCATATGCGCGAGAGCCCTAAAGGTTTTCATAGACAAATTGCTGTAATCATAACGTAAGACGTATCATAAAAACTTGCCAGTCATATTAAATAAGACATAAGTTTGAACCGTAAGATTGTCATCTTCGAGAATATTCGATTATAATTAGCCAATTTTTAGTGGCTGTCTACAATATGTAAAGTAAGCTTGGCGTAAGTTGGAGTAAAAAATAAAAATAATTTATTTCGCTTAGGCGCCTATACTCCTTTACGGCGGAAGTATTTCTCTTAAAATAAAAAAAAATATTTTTCTTACTGCAGCTTATGTCAAGCTTACTTTATATATTGTAGATGGTCACTCAAGTTCTGTCTACAATACGTGGAGTAACCTTAGCATATGAAAAGTAAGAGTAAAAGTAAGAAATAAAAGTAATTTATTATTTATACATACATCTAAAAGTGTATCTACAATGGATACACGGAGAAAAATAATTTACTGGCCCAGCAAATTTTCTGCTGGTCTAGCAAAATCTTTTCATTATTATATGGACAGTAAAAAGATTTGCTAAGAGTACTAATCATTACTTACTAGATATAATTTGCTGAATCTACAAATTATTTTGCTGTAAGAACGATGATGGATTTATATAAGCAGTTGCAGTTTTGCTCCGACAGCAAATAAATTTGCTAAGGATATATTATTTTGCATCAACAACAAATTAACGTGATTCTTAGGACAAATACAGTCAACAAATTTTTTCTATCCTGGCAACAAAACTACTTCTGCTCTGATAACGAATAATTTAAAATTAGTTATGTCAACAAAATTTGTTTGATGTCATTACGAATATGCAGTAGCAACGACGATTTTGCTAAAAGAACAAAATTGTTTTACTCCGTATAGATAAGAAGACATAAGTAGTAAGCAAATTGATTAATCGCAGTTGATTATTCTTGTAATAATGAAGTGTACAGGCACGTAAGCGAAATAAATTAATTTATTTCCTACTCCAAGCTTATTCCGCATATATACGAAGCCTTAAGCTCATTCTATAATAGCGGTAAACAGTAAAAAGTAGGAAGTAAAGGTAAGAAATTGACTAGTCATACCCCTTGTCCACAACCTTGCTTTAATTCTTAAGCCGTAAGAAATTGACAGTCGATTATTTTAAAAATAATAGACTGTGGTTGATCAATTTATTACGGCTTAAAGATTAAAGCAAGGTTGTAGACAAGGGTTGATTATTTTTCCCCTTATCCACAATCTTGCTTTAATTTTTAAGCCGTAAGAAATTAACCAACCATAGTTGATTATTTTTAAAATAATCGACTGTCAATTTATTATGGCTTAAAGATTAAAGCAAGATTGTGGACAAGGGGTTTCTCACATTCGACTGGTTAATTTCTTACTCTTACTTCCTACTTCTTACTATTTACTACCATTGTAGAATGGGATACGTCTTACGTTACGGTGATTTGTATGTGAAGGCTCTAAACGCGCGGCCAAAACACAACACTTCCGTTGACCTTGCGCCTTTCATTGCGAACGCGCCGGACATAACAACACTGTAACTGTACTCACCCAAATTGTCGCCCGCCGCCCGATGAGCGCGAAGAAGCAGCAACGACACCGCCAACGCGATCATGACGATCCTGTCGCCGCTCACAGCACCAAGTAAGATCATCGTCGCACTAATCAGTCAACCTGTCACCGAACAACGCCACACCGCCGTCGTACGTTAACGAATCTCGCACTGATACGTCACACCACACGCACTCGGTCATCGACTCACGATCAAGACACTTCCATTCAACGACGAGTCACTCGCGAGTCAGTCATCGAACTCAAATCAACCATCCCGGCCGTTGCGCTCAAGCTCGATCGCACCGGCTCGAGTCACGACACGCCATACCCTCGGAGTGATCCGCGAAGCCGTCGGATTCCGTTCGGTTCACACCGCGTAAGTCGCAGGGCAACTCACGAAATCGCACGATCCGTCGCCGCTCGATCGTCAAACTGCATCACGTATCCGTCACTTCGCCTCGCTCGCTTCCGCCGTGCGAGAAGACAGCGTCTGGACACAACCGTTGACCATAACGCGCATATATCGTTATCGACGGACAGGATGCGCGCTTCACGCAGACTGTTCACCGAGACGATTCGCACGGAAAGGCGTTTTTTCACTGAACGCGTCGTTCGCGACGACACTCGCGACAGTCGTTGGCCAGCCGGCGATCGAGATCTGGCGGAATTCACGAAACCCCCGTGCAACGTACACAAGACGGTCCCGGAACGTCTACCGCGGTGTAGACAGAGGGCGTGCACACTCACTCGATGCCCGGCGCGCGACTGACGGGTCAGACGGGACTTTTGAAAGTAGGGCTGTGCGACGCGCGCGCGACGTCACGCCAGCCGGTCGACACATGCGCCCTCGCGCCGCGGCTCGCCCGCTTTCCCGGCAGCTCGCTCTCCGCGCTACCTACGTATACATACCCTCCTTCGAATTTTCGAAATGCCTGAGACGCTCGTGACCCCGGGCGCGTCGTGCCTCGTCGAAAACGTCAAAAAGCAGGTATGATTACATTCGAGGCGGGGCGGCAGGGAGGGTGGGAGCGAGATCGATAAAGTCTCGTTAACCCGTTAACCCGTTACAGATACCATGGGGTCTCAGAGACCCCAACTAATTTTATTTTCGTGATAATTCCTAAACTATCTACTGTATGGCGCTGATATCTTCAGTACATTTCGAGTAACAGTTTTCAGTGTGACAGAAGAAAAGATCATCGAGTTATTTGTAAGTAGCTGTGAATTACTACATTTGTTTTTCGTCTGGGGTCACAGTGACTCCATTATACCGTTAACGTTACTTTTATAAAAATAATTTTCTTAATCTTCAGCTCAATATGACTCATTCTTCACGCAAAAAAGTAAAAGCTCTTGTCTTTCAGTTAGTAGAACCTGAACTTAAGAGACGTCTTACAACTCAATCTTGCAACTAGCATTATTTAATATATCTCATTATAATCATAATTGATATTTATTGATTATTTTATTTCTTACATTATTTCTCGGTCGCTGACAAATCAAAGCTTTGCGTAGATATTAGTTTTGTCAGCGATTCCATTATTTATTAGTAAAACTGATCGTGCTTTCTTATTAATTCAGTCATTAGGACATTTAGGGGCTGAGCATAAGAAAAGGAATAAGGAACAGAGAACAGAGAATAAAGAATAAGAAATACTAAAACAAGAAATAACGCTATTTTTCTGTTCCTCTATTCTACGTTGATAAATTAGGTTTATGTTTTAATATTGAACTGTTCCCTATTCTCTGTTTTCTGTTCTCTATTCTCGATTCCCTATTCCTTATTCCTTTTATTGTGCTCAGCCCCTTTTCTTTCTATTCTGAGTTCCGTTTTTCATACACGAACATTCCGATTGTTCAACTTGAGAAAGGTTAGCGTTTGAATACGCGTCAAGAATCACACTCTGATATGAACACGCGATAGCTATGTCCTTCTACATTTGCATTTTCTATGTTCAAAGTGAGGTCTCGTATACATATGTGAAATTTAACGTGAGAGGAAAAAATAACAATCGCGAAAGTGAAAGCACAGGAAATCCACAGTTGGAAGCAAGAAATTCTAATTATCGATTAATTTAATTTACAGGAGCAGCTCGGAGAATACGGAAATGATATGGAAAACGTGCACCGACCCGTCGCATCGACTTTGCCGTCAGCTCGCACCATGGGCATTCGTTAGTGAAGTTACCCTTATCTCGCAGTGCTTCGCGGTCAGTTCGATATAACGGACGCCATCCATTTCGAGCGTTTATCCGTCGAGAGTGAATTTTGGACGAGTACGAATGATGGGAGTGCCAAATCGGGCGACGAGCTTGCGTCATGTGGACGTTCATGTCGACTCTTGGCGACGGCTACATCTGTAAGTAAATAAACTTCGAATGAAACTCTGTTGCTATCCGTCCAGAATCTAGGAGTCGTATTCAACGACTGCATAAATAGCCTCGAATTTCAGAAACACGAATTTTCAGATTGTAATGAAAATGTTTTGAAGGAAAGTAGTGAAGGAGAAATGTATTTTATTTGAAGCCATTCGTGATATTCGAGCAGGAGTAATAAACACTTGGAAATATCGAGAATAAAGTTTATGCGATGGTAGGATGAGACGGCTTATGCCGTTAAGAGGGACGCAGGAGGGCGAGGGAAGGGTTTAGATTCTCGATTAATTAACAAAACTACACCGCGCTTATGGAAACTTTAAAAAAGAAATAAACCGCTTTCAAAAACCTCAAAAGTCCTGAAAAGTATAAAATAATTTGGAATCAATATTCCTGCCTACTTATAAATATCTATCCTATATCATCCTAATATTCCAATAATATTAGAAATCGGCGCAAACTGGCTAATTGAGTCAATTGTGTGTGTGTGTAATCACACCTTTTTTTATTATTTATATCTCTACAATTGTATAATTAGTTACCTATCTAATTTTTCTTTTTCGCGCTGATTTTTTATGTTTTTAGAACATTAAAATAGAATTATAATAGAATAGGAATAGAATAGGATTGTATATAGGAATATTAATTCAAAATTATTTTATACCTTTTAGGGCCTCTGAGGTTTTTAATAAAACAGTTTATTATTTTCAAAAGATATTTTATTTCCTACTTTTTAATTATTCAAAAGTTTATTCTTGAAGTTGGTTAAAAGTGGGAGAAAGCTTTCTTAAACCGGTTAATCATAAAAGTTTCGTATCTTCTACATGTCCTCGAATTTTCAAGAAAGTAATGGAATCGTCCAATTTCTCCAGGTCGCCTGAATAAATCCAGGCAATGGCATTAACCTGAGAATTACGTAGATAACATGTTGAATACGTTACAGAAAGTTTCATCTCACTATCTCTAACGGTTCTCGACTTATGAGGAAATGTACATAGAAACAAACTGTTTACATACACAAGACAAACTGAAAAGCTTGTTTATCTGAAGACAGTTAAAAACAGTTAGATTACAAGATCACAGTCTCATGTTAAAAACAGTTAGATTACAAGATCACTGTCTCATCACAAAATTTATCTTAATCATCGGAAAACGTACTTATGTTTCAATAATTTATTCTTTGCATTTGGTTCAAATTACAAAACAGTTAGATTACAAGATTACTGTCTCATGTACTTCTATTACTTAGTAAACACTTGAAATATTGAACAGCATTTATCTTAATCATCAGGAAACGTACTTATGTTTCAATAATTTACTCTTTTAGTTTAAATTACAAAATTATTCAACAGAACCACTTGTTCAATGTAGTTAAGTGATTCTTTTAAGAGCTGGGTTGCGCAATTTCCAGGTCTTAATATTTAATCGTTCATAATTTGGAAACTGTGGTTTTAATAATTTTATCGATAAAAAATGAATTTAAAGTTGATCTTGATTGAGCAAAACAACACGCGCGATATTCTTCTTTCTCGGGTCCGCGTAAGTTTCCAAAATTCATGTAAGTGTAGAATTTGGAGTGGCGAGTCAAAACAAATCTCCGGCCTTTAAGGTCGAGGGTCGAAACACGTGCCGAAGTTACCCAAACCATGACCCTGCCTAAAGCTCTCGCCTACCTACCTACTAACCAACCTTCACTTGCTCTGCCGGGCATGCGTATCCTGCGCTTTTCGGGGATGTGATTCGTACGGCGCATTCCGAATCTCAAGGGTTGTGGTCACGTATAGGGAAAAGCGTTAAGTACGATGGCGATTTGCGGCTAACGCGATCGTGCGGCAGGTAAAGTTGGCGTATTGCCCGATTGTTTCGTGGACGTTGTTGCGGATTTAGCTGATATGTAAGTCCTTCTTTTAACGCAGGGAGCGCGGGCAGATTTGCGAATTGGCTTTTATTACTCTACCTTTCGCGCGCGGGCACGCGAATGAAAATTGAAAAACCGTTCCGCGGCTCTGTAAAAAGCCGCGCGACTAGCTCTCTCTGTCGTTGATACAAAGTTTACTTCTATTACTTCGTTTAATGCGCTTCTGCATGGTAGATTTTAATTACAACATGTGATTTTCTTTGTCATTTCGTATATTAGCTTCGCGCATATATTTCCCCTCGCGTCGCATGAAAAGAGTAATGAAATAGACGTTGCTCTTGTATCTGTGATTAAAGTACTGCAAAAAACAGTACTGCTCTGAGGTATAATATTATACTTAGCGTGGAAGCTCCCTTTAAATATTTTTAAACACACGATTTCATCGCCCTAGAAATGTATGCATTTGTACAGGTATCCGCTCAGTTATTGTTTAACATTAATATTCATTTCCGTTAATTATGAAAATAATGCTTAACTGCTAGAGGAGAACTGGGTTCAGTGGTTGAAGTTGTTTATTATACAATATGTAGACTGATTCTCACTAAGCTCACTCATAGTAATATCAATTCAGTTTCATAATGTGCATATGTTATAATCTAAAAGGAAATTTATTTAGTAAATATATGTAAGGAATATTTATATTTATATTGACAGAAAAGAACTTAAAACTGAGTGGACAATGAGTAAACGTGTAGAAAAGCATAGAGCAAGGAGAGGTAAATTGAAGGAAATTTGACAATATTAAGCCCTGTGAGAGAGATGACAAACAAAATTAGAAATGAAAATAAGACAAATAGGACAACAACACAGAATTTCATTGCGATGAAAACACATAAAATTATTCTGATAATACTAATAAAAGATAATACTAATAATACCGATAATACTAATAAAAGATAGCTCTCAGATTCAGAACTTGATGAAATAGTACAACTACATGAATGGATAAAAGAATATTGTTTAACGTTTGTGAAGGATGTCACGTAAAAGACAAAAACATTAAATATATATCACACATTAAAGATTCTCTACGCTGTAACTCTCATAAAAAATGTTCAATTAGAAATCACACACATAAAAGCAAGCACTACTAGCTCAAATCTGTTCATTGTATAGACAACAGATTGGATTATTAATTAATCAAGTAGTTTTATATCTATTTTCTATTCTGTATTAGTACAGTAAATGACTTTATATTTTGCACATCTTTTATGCACTGCAGGAAAAGCGTTATATCTTAATTAAGATCCTAAGTAGTTTTACTCTTCATTTACTAAAAAAACGTGACTGTCCAGTAGCTGTCGAAAACCGCATTAAATTTCTACCAGAAATTATCTATCAGCAGAGCAATAAAAAGATCAAGTTTTCGAATTATTGTTTTATGTTGTTATTGCATATTACTACTTTTCTATTATTATTACTTTCGTCGCGATCACATTACTACTAATGTCAGTCCCA